TTTGGGGTTTTTTTGGCCGTTATTGTTTTGTGGGTCTTGACTTCCTTTGTTGTTTTGTTTGGCTTTGCCTAGTTTTTGCACTTATTAATGTTTCTGCATGTTTATCTAGATAAGATAGGCAGGATAAACAATTCAGAGATGAAAAGAACAGGACAAATGGTTCCGGGTGGGATACGGGAGAAGGGGAGGTGGGAGAAAGGAAGTGCAGGGGGACCAACCCAGGGACAAGGGAACAAGTGAACTAAAATCATTGGAGAGAAGGGCATAGGATGCGTAGTTGGGCTTAATCAAGGGCAATGCAGTAGCGAGAAATTGCTAAACATGAATGAAGGCCAAACATGATGGTGGGACAAGAGGAAAGTAAAAGGAAATAGAGGAAAGAACCAGGACATTTATAGAGGTCTAAATACAGGCATGTACATATGTAAATATATATATATAATGAGAGGGGAATAGAACTATATACTCATATCCATGTGTTAAGAATTAAAGTTGCAGATGGACATTGGGCCTCTACTCAATTACTCCCTCAACACAAGAACACTTTGTTCTAATAATCGGCATTCTTTAATGTTCACCTTCCTGATACAATCACTGAAGACAAAATGGCTGCATAAGCAAACATGGTGAAGAAAGCTGATGGGGCCCAGCTATCAAAAGATATAGCATCTGGGGTCTTAAAAGCTTGAAGATAAACAAGCGGCCATCTAGCTGAGAAGCAACAAAGCCCACATGGAAGAAGTACACCAGCCTGTGTGATCATGAGGTGTCCGTGGAATCAGGTATCAGGCATCTAAGACCCAGAGCAAAATCATACCCAATGTGAATGGGGAGGTAGGGGCATGGAGTGGAGACCCAATGCCCATCTGCAGATAATTGGACATCCCCTCATAGAGGGGTCACAGGGAAGAGATGAGCCAGTCAGGGTGCAGTACAGTACCAATGAAACACACAACTTTCCTCTAGTTCTTTGGTGCATCCCTCCCACTCCCCCACCCCCCGCCACTATCATGACCTCAATTCTACCTTACAAATCGGCTTTGACCAGAACATTCACACTGCTACAGACAAGATCCCACAACACAGGGAATCCAGGATAGATAAATGCTCCAGGGCCAACAATGAGAGTAGAGACACCAGGAGGATTGGGGAGAGAGGGAGAAGAAGAAAGGGGTAAATGATCACAAGGATCTATCTATAACCCCCTCCCAGGAGGACGAACAATGGAAAAGTGGGTGAGGGATGATGGGGGACATTGTAAGATATGAAAATAATAATCTATAACTTATCAAGGGTTCATGAGGAGGGCAGGCAGGGGAGGGAGAGGGAAGAAATGGGGACCTGATATCAGGGGCTCAAATGGGAAGAGATTACTTTGAAAATGATAATGGCAGCGTATGTGCCTGACACAATGAATGAATGCATGGATTGTGATAAGAGATGTTAGAGCCCCCAATAAAAGTATTTAATACACAAAAAACCTCTCGCTACCATCGACTCAATGGTGACTTATAGTGACTCCCTGTGGGAGTCCCTGTAAGTGTGTAAATGGGAGTAGAAAGCCCAGCCTTTCTCCCTCACATATGAAGTACTCACTGGGCTTTTAACTGCGAGGCCAACAGTTGGAATCCACCAGGCACTTTGGGGGAAAAGATGTGGCTTTCTACTCCAATGCTCTCAGAAACCCACCGGGGCAGGTCTGTTGTGTCCTGTGGGATTGCAGTTGGTCAGAGCTGACTCCATGGCAGTGAGATTTGGAGAGGGAACTTGCCAATGAGTGGGAGAGCCAGCCATTGGAGCAGATCAGATAGCATCAGGTTTATCGTCTGAGCAACTTACGATGAAAAGACTCAGTAAAAGAAATTAAGCATCTATGGAAAGCCTAAGCATTATTTTTATAACTCTTGGAATTCCTTTCTTACTGTCAAACAGATGAATCTTTCACTTAGTTCTGACTGGCAAGGAGGGGGTTCGGGGTGGGACGGGCATGGGGTTGTTGGGTGGGTGATCCTTTGGCATCCAATGTTCTTCCCAGAAGCATCTGCCTATATCCGAATTTCCCATCTTTTGGAGTTTAACATTATTATTTGAGGAGGAGGAGACAAAGGCCCCCTTTAGAAGAAAACATATGTCTTGCATAATGATTATTTTAACACTAAGAATGAAATCAAAATCATTTGATTTTCGGTTTTGTGGCAGCCTTGAGGCAATCAGCAAGCACAATGTAATGCTGCCCACATGTCTTCTTTGGGGACACACTGTAACTGTTGCTTATGTTCTGGTCTGTTTGAAGAAACAATTGAAATGGGGCTAACATCTCCTGCAGAAGTGTGAAGACACTTTCAGACCATTTGAACCATCTGGACCACTAACCTGACCTTCAGAGTTCTTCCATGGGAGGATGTCTCTGTAGGCTAACACATCAAAGCCAAGGGATGGAACCTCAAGAACACTGTTAGTGAGTCTGATGGTTAACAGAAATCCCTTTCTTAAACAAATTCAGAAAAGATCAGTTAAGACTCTTTTAAAAAAATACTTCCATTCTCATATCTTGACTTAAATTTCCTGCGAGGTTCACTTAGCATTCTGGAAAGGAGTGTCAGTTGAATTTTGTTTGGCAGCAACTGCCCCCTCTTTACATCTTGAAAAACTGACCCCAGCTGTTCAAGTGATTTTTCAAGATGTACATTGGGGGTGGGGGTGGGACGGGCATATATGATTCATGGAAGTTAAGACTCTTTAGTAGATAATGTATTCTAAAATTCTTCTCCCGTTTTCTAACTAGTTGCCCTTCAAATCAAATTTAGATGTCCTCTGTTTTTTCTTTAAAGTGTTTTGTAACTATCTTTCTTTCTTTTACAAATAATTTTATTGGGGGCTCATACAACTCCCATCACAATCCATCCATCTATCCACTGTGTCAAGCACACTTGTACATTTGTTGCATCATCATTCTGAAAACATTTTCCTTCCGCTTGATCCCCTGGTATCAGCTCCTCATTTTTCCCCTCCCTCCCAGCCCCCACTCCAGAACCCTTGATAATTCACAAATTATTATTATTTTGTCATGTCTTACACTGTCTGATGTCTCCCTTCACCCATTTTTCTGTTGTCAGTCCCCCAGGGAGGGGGTTATATGTAGATCCTTGTGATCGGTTCCCCCTTTCTACTCTCCCATCCCCTTACACTCCTGGTATCACTACTCTCATTATTGGTCTTGAGGGGTTTATCTGTCCTGGATTCTCTATGTTTTCAGTTCTTATCTGTAGCAGTGTTCATCCTCTGGTCTAGCTCAATTTGTAAGGCAGAATTGGGATCATGATGGTGGGGGAACCGGGGGAGGAAGCATTAAAGAACTAGAGGAAAGTTATGTTTCATCAGTGCTGTACTGCACCCTGACTGGCTGGTCTCCTCCCCGAGACCCTTCTGTAAGGGGATGTCCAATTGCCTACAGATGGGCTTTGGGTCTCCACTCCACATTCCTCCTCATTCACAATGATAGGATTTTTTTGTTCTTTGATGCCTGATACTTGATCCCATAGACACATCGTGATCACACAGGTTGGTGTGCTTCTTTCATGTGGGCTTTTTTTCTTCTCAGCTAGATGGCTGCTTGTTTATCTTCAGGCCTTTAAGACCCCAGATGCTATATATTTTGATAGCCGGGCACCATCAGCTTTCTTCACCACATTTGCTTATGCACCCACTTTGTCTTCAGTGATCATGTCAAGGTAGGTGAGCATCATGGAATGCCAATTTAATAGAACAAAGTGTTCTTGCATCGAGGGATTACTTGAGTAGAGACCCAATGTCCATCTGCTACCTTAATACTAAACCTATACATATATGCACATAGATCTATTTCCCCATCGTCAAATATAAACATATTTACATATGTACATGCCTGTATTTAGACCTCTATAAATGACCTCAGCCTCCTAGTTCTTTCCTCTATTTCCTTTTATTTTCCTCTTGTCCCACTATCATGCTCAGCCTTCATTTGGGTTTCAGTAATTCCTCTCGGTTACATTGCCCTTGCTGAATCCTTACCAGGCCTCCTACACCTTCCTCACCACCAATTTCAAATCACTTGTTGTTCCCTTGTCCCTGGGTTTGTTGTAACTATCGTTCTTCCTCAGTAGTTGCCTCACCTCACAAAGTATCAATTGTTTGCTCTATGGTCCTTCTATAATTCTGTTCCTTTATTATAGGAATATCACACCTTGTATTATAATTATTGATATTTATTTCCCTTGTTGGACTATTAGAGCTTTTATAATTCTGAGTTCCTTTATTATTGGAATGTCACAGCTTGTATTATAATTATTGATATTTATTTCCCATGTTGGATTCTAAGACCCTCCGGGGGAGGAGCCACACCTTTCCCATTCTTCTTTGCAAACGCTTCAATAAGCACAGTGTTTGGCATAAAGCAAGCAAATGACAAGTGTTTGGATGGATAAGTGAGTTAGCGAATCAAAGGAAGCATTGTACTAGCAGTTTGGTTAATTCAGTCGATGACAGGCATTAAAAGAGAACTTTCCCTCAAGAAAAAAATGGCTCTTCATAATACCACTGGATCACAATAGACTGCATGTTAAAGAAGGGGCTGGCTTGAAAACCAATGTTATTAAATACCAAGCACTATGCTTTTATACATACAATTTGCTTATATCGAAACTCTGAAAGATAGGTTTCAGTATTCCTGTTTCTTGAGGAATGGGCTGAAGCTTGAAACATTAAATAACTTGACCACTGTCACAAAGTCCTTAGACCTCCAAAACCTACGCTTCTCCTGAGCTGATCCAAGACTCATTGGTAGGGCGGATAGCTAAAAGTTTCAGTGTTGTAATTTTAAAGGAGTACTTTAGTTTTAAAAATTAAACATCAGTGTCTTTGCAATGTATAAAAATAAAATGGCCTTTTTGGCCTTCTGAGCAGTTTTGCTTTTAGTATTTTCTGTACGTGTTTAACGTGAATTAATTTGTATCTTTGACAAGGGAGAATACAGACGCACTTTCCAGCGTCGACTCTTGATGGCGTATCCTGCAAGAACAAACGTGCTGGCATTTCTTTGCACAGTCACATGCCTGTCTATTACAGGAGAAATAGGTAAGATCTTTCCATATGCTAATCTGTGGAAGGGTTGGAGATTTACATTCTTGTTTACCAATATATCATGCCTTTCTGGTAAAGGTTCTCAGAGTTGTGTATAGTCCCACTGCGATCGTTTAAGTGTAGAAGTTTAGTAGTGTGCCTGTAGTGATCGTGTATTTTTAAGTTTTTAATTAATGATGAATGCCTATGTCCAATCACATGATGTCCTGTGAAGACAGTGGGTAGGTAGCCTAGCCTGGCATCAAGATTGCAGGTTTTCCATTGTAGTACATTTTAATAAAGGGGTTTTCATGGATGAATTCAGTTGTGCTAAAAACTACTGCCAAACATTTTCTGGTCTTTTGATTAGGTGCTTGTTTTTGTCTTTCTTACTCTTTAAGAAGAGGAAGCAATAAAAGAAACAGCGTTTAGGGATAGGGAGACTTGCTCTAAAAATAAAATGTGAACTTTTTCATTGAAAGTGATTTTGAGCATTTCCTTTATTTGATTCAAATGATTTCTTTACCTATCCCTTTTTAAAGTAGTTTATGAACCAAGCAATCTTACAGTTTCCTAAAAGAGACCTTCAGTGGAGCCTTTACATCATATCTGAAAATGCTGAGTGAATCGATAAGTCTGAAGTTCTCATCATCAACAATTACCACAAACAACTATGAGTGTCTGAGTAGTGTCCTGTTTATTAATATGGAGCTCCAGGGAGTGGGACACACGCTCTTCTAGAGGAGAGTTTAATAAGGTACCTGGTATATCAGCAGAGTGTGGGGAACTTACCCTCAGAAGAATAGCATATTCATGCCATCCCTTATTGCTTACATATAGTCATGGTTCATTTCCTGAACCATTAGTCATGGTTCTTGAACAGATAGTAATGGTTCTTACCTCTTGAAGAAATACCGGACCATGACATAGGCAACCGGATTTACATCTTTCATGGCAACTACAAACATACCCATGCCCCGGATAGTTTGTTATATGCGATCTTTGAGATTACCTCTAGGTGGTACTACTGATAGAGCAAGAGAAAAACTTGCTCCTAAATCTTTCCCTGAAATTTGCAGTGCCCTTTTAGAATTTTTGGTATGATTATTAGAGAGTAGGCATTATAAATTACAAATGATTAAAGCAAATATTATCCTGAGAAACCCTCAGGAGTACTCTGGTGAATCATTTGCCTGTAATCGAGGCAGCTTGTTCCGGAATCTGTATTCCTGAACCTTTTCCCAACACAATTTTCTCACTACTGGTTGTGGTATTACTGTTTTGAGAAGGATGCGTATTTTAATTCAAATACGGTTAAGCTTTTATATGGCTGCCCGCTGGTCTCAATCATGCATCGCCCATGCAGCCAGAGGGGTGTGGAGAGTGTGTCAATGATGCCACAGGGCTCATTTCACCCGGCCTCCGGGAACGCCACACACCTTCTACTCTGAAATGGGTTTCTGACCGCCCGCTGAGAACTGCATTTGTATCTTGTTGCAGATGTGTGCAAGAAGGGGGGTGTGACCGTGAAGCCTTCCCATGTAATTTCACTTGGATCAGCCGTCAATATTTCATGCTCTTTGAAGCCCGAACAAGGCTGCTCTCGCTCTTCCAGTTCTGACAGGCTGATCCTCTACAAGTTCAACAGAACCATCCATGTTCAGCCTGGCCCCTCCCTCAGCGCTCAAGTCACCGGCCTTCCCCTGGGCACCACCATGTTTCTCTGCAACCTGGCCTGTGGCGGCGGCGGCGGCGCGGAGACTCGAATCTGTGGGGCTGAGATCTTCGTTGGTGGTGAGCTTTCCTTGGATTCCTAAAAGAGGGGGTGCATTTCTTACTTGAGATGTGCAACCCCAATAGAGAGCAAATAGTTTTCGGGAGCACTTTCTCTTGATAGCTCCAGGTGAGCACCTCAATGGGAGAAGTGCAGAAAGGTTGGGTGCCCTTGTTCTGTTCGTTTGATTGGTTGGGGCCATGGAGACTATTGACCGGCTTTCCCTGCACTCCCGCGGCAGGAAGCAGGAATTTCTGGCACTCCGTTTTCGTGCCTTCTCAGCGAGAGGTTTTCTTCACAGGTACGATTTCCAAAAGGGCCAGGGAGAGGGGAGGAGAGAGAAGATTTTTCTTTCTTCTTTGGCATCCCAGGTCGACCACTCGGAGGTGAACACCTCTCCCTCCTTCTAATTGACTGCACAAAAATCAGTCCTCCTAAATAAATAAGGCTGTAATAAAAAAGCAAATTTTGTTTTAAAAAATTGTTTAAAGACCTAGTTCTCCGGGTCCTCTTCATTCCCTTCCAACTACAATCAGCTCTGACCACTAGGTGCCATACTCAGCAGACCTGTCCTGATGCTCACTGTTCATTCCTGCGTTCTCCAGAAAACTGCCTGAGACAAAAGTGACATGCCAACCTATCTGGGGGAGGGAGGTGTACATCCTCGTGAGTCGAGTGAGGACCCGAGCCAGGAGAGAGGGGAGAGGAAACACAGGGTGGTCCCATGACTAACTGGCCCCAGCTTTGACGGAAAGCACAGCTAGTGCTTGGTCGCTAGGGGCCTCCCCCAGAAGAGCATATGGAAATGCAATACCAGGGAAAAGAGAATTTATCTGCCTCTCCCTGATCAAAGATCACCGTCCAGGGCAACAGCCCAGCACTGCTGGCTTGCTCTCACAGTCCCTCCAGGCAGCTGCCGAGGGGCAAGAACTAAGGGTGTCTGTATCCCGAGCCACAGTCTGCAGGGCAAAGCACCAGCCCACCTGCCTGCAGCTTCTAGCATTGCAGCTCCAGCCAGGCAAGCCAGTGAGCAGCTGTAGCTCGTAGGGAGTCCATGGGGTCCACCTCTGTGGCAGTCCCCGTGCAGCTGTGGAGCAGAAGCAGGAAGTATGAGGGGAAAGGAGTTACAGCAGCAGGCTGGCTGGTCAGTGTGCCAGGGCAGGGTCTCTGCTATGAAAGCAGTGATATGGAGCACCAAGAGAGTCTTTCCGGGCAAGATGGAAGCCTCGTCTCTCTATCCTGTAAGGATATGGTTGGTGCAGGTCATATTCCTAGATGGTCCTCAGAAAACCATGGCCAAGCCAGTTGGCAGGGAATCAGGAAGGCAAGAGATGGCAGGAGCTAGATCCAGAACTTCTCTCCCAGCTCAGGCTGAGGGGCCATTCCCAATCAGCCTGGACAGCCGGTGGTGAGTGAAAGGAGTCTGAGCTTCGAATCTCCACCCTGCCACCGGCAGTGCCCCTTTAACTTCCATTCTCTGGGCCAGAGTGCCTCCATTTCTGTTATGAAGATATGAACATCGACTGCATAAGCCGTGGTCGTGATTAGATGATCTGGATTCAAAATGCTTACTCCTGAGCCGGGCACACAGGAGGCACTTGGGCGATAAGAGCGAGGATTGTCGTTTTCACTTTTCCATCCTGTGAATCTGTGACAACTGGCAGGACCCGGAGGCTGGGGCGATAGCGAAGCTTATCTTGTCCTGGCGCGGCTCAGTTGGGTGGTGCTGCCCTAATGCTGCTCATGCAACATGAAGAGGCAGCAACCACATTATCAAGTGACAGCCTTTTGAGCAAGTTTAGCACCTTTGAGGTAGAGGATTGACTGGAAATGATGCCTTTTTCTGAGTAGAGGTAGTCATTCCAAGAAAAGAAACCATGAATTCTGGTTCCACCCAGTGTGATATGCTCATTCCTAATGAAGAAGTGAACTCCCCGTTTTCTCTCCTGTGATAAGTGCAAGTTCATAGTGTCACCACATGTCCATCAAGTTGGCCAGTTTTTCAGAACTAGAAACAGGTGGGCCACATTCTAGCCTATGCCCCTGGCCCCGTCATAGACCTTAGAAGTCCTGGTAGCACGAGGGGCCACACATGGGCCTAGAACCACAAGGTCAGCCATTTCACCGCCAACCAGCCGTTTTGAGGGAGAAAGATTTCAAAGTCTCAGCAACTCACAGGAATGTACTCTGAATTTGGTTTCACTTTTCCCCCAGGCCTGGTCATCGGCGGTTCAAACCCACCAGCCGATGTGAAAGATGAGGCTGTAAGCTCCCGCAAAGATTTGCAGTTTGGGAAACCTTGTGGAGCAGTCTGCTTTGCCCTGTAGAGCTACTCTGAGTTAGAATTGACTTGGTGGCAATGGATTTGGGGAATTGGCTCTCCAGGCTTGGGAGGCTCTCCCAGGATGAGATTGGAGCTCATCCAAACTGTGGAATAACGAAACACAGCCCTCTCGCTACTTACACTCAGAGAGTCGATCCACAAACCATTCAGGCAATCAAGACAGGAGGCGATGTCTTGTCTGGGTGGTTTTCAACATATGCTTTATCCATGAATATTTCTGAAATTAGTTTTTCTGAGATTTATAGTAAGCAAGGCTTTTAAAGCACCAATAACCATGCTACTTATAACAATTGCTAATATTGTAAGCTGATTAAAATTTCCAAATCCTTGCTGTGCTTGCCTTGTCACGAACTGTAATGAGAAGAAGTGTTTCCGGTTTCCTCGGTGGCAGACGACACCACAACCGCACTCACTGCCATCAAGCTGAAGCTGTCTCATCGTGACCCTTTAGGATGGAGCAGAACCACCCCTGTGAATTTCTAGCCCTGTAACTGCTTACCGGACTAGAAAGACCCATCTTTCTCCCGAGGAGCCGCTGGTGGTTTCCAACGGAGGATCTGGCGGCTCGCAGCCTGACATGTAACCACTATGCCACCGGGGCCTCATCTGCGGAAAACAGGCTGTGCCAAGCCAGGTCTGTGCTAAGTGGACACCTTGACTTCACGAAGGTGCCTGCTGCACAGCCCAGATCATGAAACCTTCAAGATACGAACAGGGAGGCGCTGGGAATGCTGCTTCTTTACGTCAAAGCTCCAGGCACGTCCCCTCTCATTTGCGCCTCAGTACACCACGTGAAGTGTGGAGGGAAATAATGATGGGTTGAATCTTCATTTCTCTTGAAATAAGGTCAAGACTACAAGAATTCCAAATGGTTTAAACCCTCAAGGACAACAAGATTGAGGGATGGGGGGAAGACATATAGACAAGATTTGGGAAGCTGAGAAGTAGATGGCCCGGTGATAACTGGCTTCACCTACAGCGACAAATGAAGGTGAAACTTGCTTTCAGGCAGAAGCTCTCATTCCACAAAGACCCCAAAATTGATGTCACTGTGGACTTTGGTTGAAAATCTATGCAAAAGCAGTTAAAATGTCAGATTCCTTTCCCAATTCCATATAATGCTGCCAATGCTCCTTCCATGCTGGCCTAAGACTAGAACTTTTGTACATGGAAAAGCAGCACGAGGAGTCTCGGAGTTGGATGATGCAAGTCCCCCAGCTAGGAAGCCCTGGTTGTACCATGGGTTACATGCTGGGCTGCTCTAACCACAAAGTCTAGTTCAAAACCACCAGCTGCTCCCCATGAGAAAGATGAGGCTTTCGACTCCCGTGAAGATTTGCATTCTTGGACAGCCACAGAGGCCATTCTAGTCTGCCCCAAAGGGTCATTGTAAGTCTTCTTTGGCATACTGAAAACCCGAGGTATTCGGAAATAGTGATGTACAACTCTTACTAAGCTCCCCGAATACTCACAGCCAGGTCTGTACTCTCCAGACAGATTCGAAGATTCTTTTTCTGGGAAATCTGATCAGACCAAGAGGAAATCATTTAAAATATCCACAACAGGAGTTCCCCAAAATATCTAGCCAGATCACCGGGGGATGAAACCCGAAGTTCATGAATGCTCCCAAATCAACATGCCGACTGAGCCCAATCTATAATTGAATGCCCCACGCCCATCCGAGCTGCCATTGAGTAGATTCTAACTCCCGGTGGCTTCATGTGGGCCATGATAGGAGTGTGCTCTATAGAATTTTCATTGGCCAATTTTTCAGAGTAGAACCATGCTCCCCCCCCCCCCCAAATGCCTCTCAGTAGATTTGAATCTCCAACCTTTGAGTTGCCAGTCAAACATCTTAATTGTTGGTGTCACTCAAGCACTCTCCTATACATGATTGAAAATACAGGTTCTAAGAAAATGTCCAACATAAAAGAAGTAAACCAAAAAAATAAAATACATGAAACAAAGCACATACACAAAGTAGAAAAGCAGCTGGAAACTTTTCAAGGAGAGGAAATGCTAAGAAATTAAAAAAAACACCAATCTTTAATAGGCTTCAAAAATTAAGAAAAAATATTGCACATGCAAAAGCAAGAATTGCTGTTGTTGTGTGCCATCTTGGTTCTGATTCCTAGGGAGTCTATGTACAACAGAATGAAACGCTGCTCAGAACAGCACCATCCTCACAATTGTTCTTAATGTTTGTTGCAGCCACTGGTTCGATCCAGCTCATTGAAAATCACCCTCCTTTTCACTAGCCCCCTGATTTAGCAATCATGGTGTCTCCTGAGTGCATGATGCAATCCATAAAAATGAAACATTCATAAAGTAAAAAGCATGGCCCCCATAGGAAAAAGTACACAGAAATTAAAAACTCAGTGAATGATAGAGATATAAACTGAGGATAGACCCGATAGCAGAGCAAAAAGACTGGATTTTAAAATATAGAAGATAAAATTAGAGGAATATCCAACACAAGAATAATATAAATGTTTGGAAAGAAAAAACAGGGAAAAGGGATAATCATGGAAAGTAATTTAAGAAAATGTTTCCCACACTGAAGGTCAAATGTTCAAAGAATTTATGAGCCCTCTGAGGATTAAGAAGAATGGATGAAAATAGACCCTCCTTTAGCACACCTTTGTGAAAATTCAGGGGTTGGGCCAAGAGAGGGGG